AGGATAACGTTTCTCTTACTGACCAATTACCAAATCCAAATGAACGTTCACACACATGTACATGAAAGCACAAATATACAACATACTCATATGATGTTTTTTGAGGGCAACATAGTTTAATTTCGTAATTTGTCTTGATTTGTTTCTGTCTTTTGAGTTTTTAGAAAATTGTGTGTTATTACAGAAAATATGTATAAACATTTTTTTTAAATCGGGCAGCAAGTAACATGTTCATTTAAATGTGGTAGACAGTGAGAAAAATGTTCTCCTAAACAAAATACTGCCTGACAGATTATTAGAAGCTAATGAGCAAATAACTTCACTAGGGAAGTTCTGGAACATGAAGTGGAAAACAGCACCACACTCTCATCAGGAAAAGAATGGAAGGCTGCCAGGCAGAAATCCCACATGGCCCAAAAGAACTCATTAAGAAACACAGAATCAATAGCCGGATTGTTAGATGGAAGCAAGAATGAACACCAGACAAGGCCAGTCCACCGGCTTACTTTGGATCACAGCTTTAAGCCAGTTTTGACTTCCGGCACCTTTCGACACCATAACACCTTAAAATCCATCCCTTGCCTTCCTCAACCTCTGTCCATCCATCCACATGTCTTGTAACAGTATCTGAGCAAATAGCATAAAAGCATTTATGTGCAGAGAACGTTTTTATCCACATTTACCCCTGCCAGTTGCCTTTTGAAACATTTTTAATAAAAGCCCACTACACCTTATATATGAAAACACATGTTGTGTGGTCTTCTGTAAAGTAGAAAATAAATTGTTGCTGTCTGAAAAATAACAATTTTGGGGGAAGTTGTCTTCATTCTGAAGCCTTTTTTGGAAAAACTTTTTAATATATACTTAAATACTAAAGCAGTAAAAAATGAAAGTAGCTAAATGTATTACAGACAAACCGATATAAATGAAAACAGAGGTAAACATGGCTTTCCTTTTTTTATCCTGGACTTGTAATCTCTTACTTCTACACCTGCAGTGGCTTTATTTACCAGTTACCTCAGCCTCAGGCTACATGCCATTTCAACTTAGACAGCTCATCAGGATGAGTGGCAAGTGTTGGGAGGTGAACTTTATCAACTGAAGGGGAGTATATCTGGTCTATACTTCTTGCCTCAAGGTGAAAAGTTGTGTACTGCTGTTTTTAAGGTAACTTTCAATATAGTTTTAAAGCCTGGGCAAGTCAGAAAATATTCTTTCACACTCTCATACCACTGCACAATAGGCTTGTTTTGCACTAAATGACAATATGTGTGTGTTGACATCGATCAGATGGAAGACAGCTTTCACATTTTCACCTGCTGGGGGTCAGATTGCTTCAGGTTTCATCATGTCTTGACGTTCACCTTGACTGAGTCCCTTATGGGACCTGGAAAAAATGGCTGTGTTCTGCAGTTGATCATCTGTAGTAAATGCAGGACCTGTCGATGAGGATGACTTTCTGTCTGTCTCTTTATCTGCCATATTAGTTATGTTTATTGGTCCAGTGCCTGCTGTATCTGTTTGGCATGAAGGAGAGCAGGTAAGAAAAGGGAGAAGAGATGAAAGGATACCAGAAAGACAAGAGTGGGGGTAGGGAGGGGGGAGATGAGAGGGAGATATGAGCATAAAAGAAGATGAAGTCAGTACGTGTACGTTGAGGATTCTGTCGCTGTTAATTAACTTGCATGCCTGATTAAGTACAAGCTTCTCACAGAACTGAGAGGGCGCTGGTGCTGGTGGTGGGACTTATAGACTTCAGCATGGGAATCAGGAGTGGAAACAATTCTAGCACTTGCCCTCAGTTGAGTCATGAAGAAGACATAACAGCCTCCTTGACACTGTGTTATTCCTCGGGTCATGGCCAATCAGCCAGGGCCTAGCCTAGCTTCTCCGTCAGTGCACTTTGCTTAAGAAGGAACTCCAGTCCATTAAGCTCATCCCGCCTGTCAGTCCCAGTGCTAAAAGCTTGCCTTGGTGACCCATGTAGAACATTAAGCTGTAGACTATACTAAATCCCATAGATATTTACTGCCAAGGCACAGCATTAAACTTATACGGTGTCATATACAAATGCTATATTATCCCTTCATAGCCATATTGTTTGAGCAAGTGGCTGAGTAGCCAGAGGATTGAGCTGCTGACCTTAGTCCACAGAATATGTAGCTTTCTGGCACCATCCAGGAAAACACAAAAGAAGACAGAAGATTAAAGTGGACCTATTTTGATAATTTTCAGCTCTATATTCTTAGTCTGACACTCCACTAGAGTAGCTTTACATAACTCTTCAGAAATATCCTTATTTATCCTATACTGGCCATTAATGCAGCTCCCTCAAAGGCCCACTTTCTTCTGATTGGCCAACTTTGCGGAAGCCTGCTGAGGGGCTACACCCAGTGTTTGTAAATGCAGCTTGTCCTCTTGCCAGTGTGCTTGACTGCATACGAGAGCTTCAGTAACCTAGCTTATAGCAATATGAGGCACTGAATTTGATTAATTTACTTTTTATCAGACCACAAATTAAATTAAGAGTTATTTTGGAAAAATTACAGACGCAAGTTTTTGGGGTCCGGGCCGCACAGCTTTATGCAGCTTTATTAACTGATTTTGGTGAAAGTGAGTTTTAACGTGATATCTCTAGCACAGGAACTTTTGATCACCAATGCCTATAGAACTTTCCTTCACAAATTAAAAAAACACTTCCTGCGAGACATATAAAAAGGGTTAGTCTTGACAACTGAGCAGTCAGTTGTCAATAACTTTGACAGACTGAAGTTTGAATGTGTGTGAGGTAATCAAATGGAAACCTTCCCTTTTCAGTGATTGGCTGTATTAGTATGGTACCATATTGTTATAAACGCAAAAACACAAATACATTCCGACCAGTCACCAACAGTAAGATGTCCAGGTGATCTTGTTTCTGTGTGGCAGAAATGACCTAATTTGTGCCACTATATGTAAATAGTGGCCAATATTTGAAAGCTGTAGCTGTAGCTAAAATGTAACCACAAGGTGATCATAAGCAGTTGATGTCCATCTCACCAACATGACACATGCCAAAGTTAGAAGACAAAATAACAGAGTCAGAGCGCTTTCTTGTTACTGAAACTCATAAAACTCAATTCCAACAATTGTGCGACTGAAATCTATGAGTGCCTCTGTAGTGGATAGGTAGAAGTTCTAGCTATCCACTACAGCTGCCTAACTCTACATTCAGAGTATGCACAGACCAAATCATAGGTTGCTTCCAGACTTTGCCCTTTGTCAAACATTCCCCCAAGCTTTTGACTGGCTCAAAGGTCAGCCAACTCCACTGTAAGCCAAGAATTATTGCACAAACTGTGGTGCTACTTCGTCATCCAAAATTCGGTGAATGTAAGTATATATCTAAAAATGTGACACACAGTTATTTTTGCTTATTTTAAGCCAGCAATTGTAGTACAAATAGATTCATCTAGCACAACTAGAAACATCAATATGTTGGTGTTTCTTTTAGGGATCATCATGCATTTAGTTTAATTCTGTTTTTTCGTTTTTATTGCTTAAACACATATTACATAAGACAGAAATAGCCTACAGTCATCGGAAAAGGAAGCAAATCTGTAAATGCATACATACATATTAATGGCTGTAAGTGTTGTAGTATGTGTTCACAGAAAAATCTCTCTACACACACATAAATCACCACATGCATTTGCAAAACTCGGGCACGGCAGAAATGTTGCAAAGGTCACGTGTAAAAAGACAAATTGAGAGTCCTGCCAGAGTTGTAACTGTTGAATTGTCTGTATTTCCAGCTCTTGGAGTCAATACTTAGACTTCTTAACCATAAATATGTATGTTTGCATTTACAGATTTGTCCACATATTTTCAGATCTATATACATATTTACAGATTTGTCAGCATATTTACAAATCTCAATACATTTGCAAATCTAAATAAAGATTTGTAGATTTCTTTGAAACCAATTTACAAATCTTATTACACACATAGAGATTCTGAACACACATTTGCAGATTCCTGTACACATTCAGAAATCTGATTACACACGATAAAGATACACAACTCTCCACTCCCATTTGTTAATAGTTTTGCTACAATAGCAGTGTTCCAGTAGTTCCATATGTAGGAGAAACTATGGTGGCCACAAAACTTGCAAAAATGTGAGAGGCCCAATGTAAAGCCAGTGTTTGGTTTGTTCTATAGAAAAATCAAAGTCCATTCCCTTTGTAGGTAAAAATGGTTAATTCTCACAAACAATGTGATTAAACTTTAGCTGTCACTGGGAACCTACACTAGAACATATTTTTTATTATCTCACCCTATGTCCTATGTTGAGGTAAAATAATGCATCAAATTAGTACCATATTAAAAATAAAAAAACACTTGTAAATGTTTTACACATTGATGTTGTAACTCGCATAAGCACTAGCATAAAATGGTCTCCAGATTTTCAAAAATATACATCATATTAATGGTTATAAGAGAAGTTATAAGAAGCAGACTTGTTTTGTGTGACCGTTTTAAGATGTTATTTCATGAATCAGTTACCATTGTATTTCGGTGACATTTAAGTTGTGCACTGGGATTGTTAACTGACCTCATAAAAGACCAGTGACATTTGATGATGCGTAACCAACTACTAATCTCCTTTGACAATACCCACCTGCTGTGGAAATGCCCATAAACTTTCTTGTACTCCCTCCTCCAGTTAAGTCTGTTTCACTTGAAGATAATTACAGCGGTGATTTGTGCTGCTCCCCCTGATGATGAGGAAAGTGAGAAAAGTTGGATGTGGGGAGGAAAAAAAGAAAGAGATTGATCATCACTATCACCTAGCCAGTAGGGTAAGTAGCACTGTATTTCAGGGCACTTTCCTCAGAGAAGGGAAATTTGAGGTGGGAGTCTTTCTTTTTTTAAACTACTCCCCTGTTCCAACAATTATGTAGCAGAGGAAGACTGATGTGTGGAATCGGTTTGAATCTCTGGCTGGGTCAGCACCTCCTTAACCTGAAGCCGAGCTGAGCCTGTAGGTGAGTCCACAGAGAGGAGGTGTCACGTAATGAGACAAAGCAAGCTAGTATTGACTCTCCTGTTGTGTGTTTTTAATAAATCATTTTAAAAAAAAATCCTAGACAGGAGTGTCTTCAACTGTTTGGTAATCTTTGACACTATTATCGCTTTATATTGCAAGACAAAATATTGTTCAACAAACTTCAAACTATGGTCCCAAACATTATGTCGACACATATACACCGTTCTGACACATCTAACACAAAGAGTTTCACAAAGGTATGGTAGGTATTTGTTGAAGGCCTGTGGCTTTGGATGGCATTACATTGAACACATGTTTTTATTTCTCTACTCACGGTGAGTGTTTCAGCCTTGGCATTTTTATGACATGGCCCAGAGCTTTCACACACCTCCTTGAAAACATGAATTTTAACATCACCACACACTTTTCAATCTGTAGCCACTCATAAAGTCCCCAAAGCTCTGCCAGACTAATTCCAAAGTTATTGTACAGTAATAAAGCTTTCATTAATATCTAACAATAATGTAAAATTAAGTGAAAGCAAAGTTGGTATCCACTCTGAAACAATTTCACAATATAACAATAGGTTTTGAGAGGTTTCCTTTTCTTTGCAGGTGAAGCACAGATGAGGCGTTATAAAGAGTCTACAAAATAGGTTGGTTTAACATTCAGCTGCACTGCTTGTCCTCTGTGATGCTTCACATTGAAATATTTTTCTAACTCCTACAGACACCTGGCCTTCAGAACTTTAGAGCTTTTTGTGGATCTTGTACAAACAACAGCACTACCATGATTGCTGAATTGTTGGCAGACAATAATGAAGGCCTATTCAGGTACAGTTATGTTGGGTGGTCCTAGAGATTCAGAGCAAAGTAGATGATGCCAGACAGTCTTCAGGTTCACTGTTCTCTCCATGTTTCAGAAATGTGATTTATCTTTCAATTCAACTTTTATAGAGATCCATCCCAGAAGTGGAGGATACGTTAAGTTTAGATGAGAACACTAAAAGGCAGTGTGAAAATATTTATATAAAAAAAGAATTTTAAGAAATAATAAACGCTCTACATCTAACTAAAACCCTGACCCTAACATCTATTTCCCCTTAGGGTGAGAAAAACCCTCAGAAATTACAACATTTCATCAGTTAAATAATTCATCTGAATTCTTGTCAGGGCAAGTGTAAGCCTATGATTCCCCCCTTATACTTCTCATGCTCTTGAACACTGCGAGAGGGTTGTCAGATGATGCAAAGAAAACCATCCTAAAGGGTAAGCATTAGTGACAGAGAGATAGAGAGCGAGAGAGAGAAAAGATAATGTGAGAGGAAGAGAAAGAACTTGTCAATGAGGTTATTAAGAGAAAGGAGCAATTCAGTCTGACAGAGGGCAGCATGGGCGCAGGTGCTGGCAAGAAAGAAGGAAAGGTTGAAAAGCACTTCAAAGGATGATTGGTAACTGATTCCCTTGACTTCTCCCCTGCAAATAAAGTATAATGTAACAATTTCTGCAAGCCACTGAAGAAGGGAATAAGTCTGCACTGCATACACAGAGGAGCTAGTCTAAGAGGGCGTACATTTTGCTGCAAACTAAACAAAGCTGTGCATGATTTCTACCGTGACATTTTAAGAGAGAATCTGGTACCAGAACCCAGCTTAGTTTGACAAACATGACAGGAGCGTCAGCGTGTAAAAAGCAGCATCTTTTCTCGCTTTAAGCGTTCATTGATAGTGTGGACTGTCTCTGCTGTTGCAGTTTTAGAGCCCTTTAGGCAGAATATAATTTGAATCAGCTGTCTGATTAGTACGACCTTGGGAACTGACTTCATTCCACAGGGTAACTGACTGCAGCTGAAGATTGGTGTTAAGTTTCGTCAACACTCCTCCGAGCAAGTCTAGAATATGTTAATTAACTCATTGATTGAGGTGGGCGGTTCATTATAAAAGCAGAAGTTGAGGTCTCTGGTGTGGGAAGACAAAAAAAAAAAACACTGCTGTGCATATCAATGGCTACATCAGTAGCTTCTAAAGTCCATATTCCTTCACTTCAAGGACACATTTAGTATCTGTTTCTCATCGAGGCCATACATGCAAAATAGACCAACTAAAATGTGTTTTTGCCTCCAATACCATTGCATTAATTACTGAATATGGTACTTGCAAGTGGGGGAAGTACAACAGGGACTTTTGCTTTTGAACTCGTTTAAGAAACTGGGTTAAACTCTTAGCCTTAGTGCCATTGCTTGCTAATGCAAACATAAGGACAACAGCCACTTTAGAAAGTCAGTCAGCCTTCACATAGAGGAGTTTTGAACATTGAACAAATATTTGAAATGCACTTTAGACAGAGGTCTTGGCATTCACTTTAATTGTCTCAAGAATGTCGTGAACGTACAGTATGAAGCACGCCATCTCATATGTTGTGTAAACAGGATGCATCTTTTTATTCTGTCTCCACTGCCTTTCTTTTTCTCCCCATCCTTGGATTGGCACACTGTGTGGGAGATGGGCTCCTACGTCAAGTAAGAGGTAATTGAAAAGTGCTGAAAACAAATCTTTTCAATCAGATTCTGAAGGCTTTGTCCTCTCGCTGTGCAGGCAAATGTGCCAATTGCAAAACAAAGCACGTCACATTTTGCATCAGATAACAGCGAAGGGAAAATCACCAAAGTCAGTCTTTGTGGAATTTTCAGAGGGCTTTTTCGACTTGTTTGTTTCCTTATATAAAAAATATGCATAGCACGAGCAAATCCAACACTCTTACTCAGTTCTTTTTTTTTTTGTAGAGGATGTTGTTCATTATCGTTAAATAAAGTCTAAACAGCACTTACTATGTGCACAACCATTATAAATGCTTATCTTATTGCCCAAGGTCATCATAACACTCTCTACAAACTCAAACAGACAAAGACACTTACAGTTTAGTTAAAGCTGTGAATTCACCAGCTCTTTTAATGTTAGAGTCAGTCTCTTATCATTACAATGTATGCAGAAAATGTGACGAAGATATCTATGTTGTCTATGTAGTACATTTATTTGGAGCTCATTCGTGAAAAATCTATTTCAGTTCTGCTTGTTAGTATTTTGCTTTAATACTTTAAGTGGAGTTAATGACAGGCTTATGAAAAGAGGGCCTGCACCATCCTGTATTTCTCTGATCTGGTTGCCACAATAGACCACCGGGCCTCCGAGAGACCTGGAAAGGAGAGGTACTTTTTGTGGAAAAGACTGATTCAATGTTTGATGACATGTTATAAAAAAAGAATGTCTTACATCACAGTTACCTAAAATATGTCATGTATAACAAATCTAAATATTAAAATGGTTTTCTTGTAGTTCTCAGGAGGATATCACTACTTTCACACACTTTAAAGCAAACTATTTTCAATATTATGGAAAAATTGATAATACTTTAAATGGACTGCACTTAACCAGCACTATTTTAGTGCAACAGACAAAGAACTTTACATTTGGCCTTAATTGCTTCATTAATTTTAAATTATACTGTAAAGTGTGCACTACAAGTTGTATAGAGAAGGAAAAAAGTGGAATTAAAATAGAATTGAAATACAAATTCCACCATAAAAAATGGCCAGAATATACAGAGACTGTCTGGGATGTGAGTGGGACAGTCCTATACGGATGATCACTAACCTGCATTAAGAATCATGCTGAGATATTAATAACTTAAGTTTCCTTTCTGTATCAGTGTTTCTCAAACTTTTTACAGGCTCTCCAAGTAGCACCATTATAATAGATGTTACAGTAACATAGGATGACCCTATTCAGACAGTTCATACAGGATGCAGGTTTATAATAAGAAATGTATTTATTGTTGACTGCTGTCAGCCACAGCCACGCTGAACAAATGGGAAGCACTATAACTGGCTCTTAATTCACACAACTCTTTTACATCTCAAGTTGTAACTAATCATTGATGCATGCGTGCGCTTTGTGCATGAATGTGACTACGTAGCAGTCTAAAACCAAAATATTACAGGAAAGGCACCACATATGTAAGTGGAAGAAATGAAAAGATTAGATTCTATGTGATTTGTGCTGTTTACACTGTCATGAAAAAACTGTTCTGAGTCACATAGCATAGCAAGCATAGCATAGCAGGCACAAACTGGTAGCAGTTGATTCACAAATTACAATATTAGTAAAGACAAAGACAAAAACACACCATGGCCCTTCCAAACACACTCTTCCCTCCTTTCTTCTTTCTTGTTGGTATTAACGATGAGACGGCAAACTGCCATTCCAAAACAAAGTGCTACAATTAAAATAACAAAAAAAGTAACAAGCCCCAGAGCTTAAGATATAATAATATGTTATAAATAGTTACAACAAAGACCATCAGTTAAAAAAAAAGCCACTTAATAAAATACTCTGATACTCAGTATGCCGGCAAGCAGGGAGTTCCACGGGGGCCCAGATTTAAGTTCATATGGCGACATTGTTAGCAAACAGATACTTACATAGACATCCAGCAGCTATGGAGCAACATTATCATTTACTTGGAGTCATGCTTCTGTCCATCTGATGAATGTAAGTCCAGTATCCACTCTGTTCCTGCTCTCTTTTTGGTCTTAATTCCAGAGGGAAAAATGCTCCACTGTGTTTACCAGCTATAGCCAACTCTGTCTGTCTGCCGATAAGTGCTGGGTTTTCAAAGGACTTGTATTTTTGTCTCAGTCATTGTAATCATACAAAGGGTACCGCAGATACAGGAAGTACAAAAAACGTAATTTCATTTTAATTATTGTTTATTTCAGTTTTTTGTGGACAATTTAGATGTTCAAATTTGCATTGTGGGACAAAACAGAAGCATATTTTGAGTAGAAACACAGAAAGAGTTGGACTGAACCCAGGAGCCTTCTGTGTGGCCACCATGCTAACAATGAGACACTGTGTCCCCCTATGCTGCCTACACGTTGACCACACTGAGCCTAAGACTAAGACATTGTGCTGTTGTCCTGAGGAGTCATGGTGTCATGGGTTAAGGGAGAATGATGATTTTCTGATGAATGATGACTGGAGGTGGTTTACAATTTAACAAGAGTTTTAGGTGGAAAGAGCATCATCCGCATTCACATGTATGATGTCGTCATCATCCATACAAGGATGTGGCTGGGATGCACAGATGAGGCGATATGTTCATCTGGGAAGTTTGGTGACTGAAAAGTCATTTGGTTAAAGGGATGGAACAATCTGAACAATCTGATATAAAAATGTTTGGTGTGGCAACCTGGGACATTTGAAAATACTTTATTATTTAATCAAGATCTGAGCCTCTCTTGTGCTGGATTAGTAGCCCTTTGGAGCAGCAGGGTAGTTTGTTTTAACTGGTGCACCTCTGTGACCTTTGGTGTGGTCTGGATCCCATTCTCTCCCTGCTCTGAATCTGCTGGGTCCTTACACAACAATGGACCTTTTCCTGAGACAGGGAACATGATGTTGATTCCCCGTCTCAGTTTTTCATCCATCTGCACTTGTTTATTATTGTCTGTGTAGCATCTTTTGAGCATGATGATTCAACTGTTTTAACCTATTGGGCTCAATGATAACAGACATGTATGCCTGTAGATCCTACTTAAATCTTTGCTGAGAGATTTCTAATTTTAGGACCTTGTCCATCAGATTTTTTAAGTCAGGTTCATTAGCCTTTGCTCTATACCATAGATGGTTGTTCTTTTGGCCCTCTTTAGTGCTCCCATTGTTGTTTTGAACTTGGACTCAGCCTCCTTTTTTCGTCCTGTAGACACTTCTTGTTTTTCATCATGTTGTCGAGGTAAAATACCGAAGTTAATAACTGTTCTCTTGTTCTCTACATCAATTCTCTACTACATCTTTCTTTTACTTCTAAATTCCAATCACTTTGTTTGTTTTTTTCTTTGACAGTTTTTGTAAGTCCTCCATAACCCTTTTGTGTTCCTCCTCCTTCTCAAGGTAACCTTGCAAGGCAGCTGGACTTCACACAAAATCCATCTTCCCAGGCTTAAAGCTACGTGCTATGTGCAAACCCCAATGGTTCAGACCAATCAGTGTCCTTTGAGAAACTACTGGCAGCTACAGCATGAGCTACGGGTGAGGTTTTTTTCCCTGAAAGAAGAGCAAAGAACTGCACTGAAGGAATTTCTCGATGGAAAATATGTTTTCTGTCTTCTCCCGGCTGTCTTCAGTGAGAGTTTGACTACATTATACGGTTTGTTGATCTGATTGGTTAAGTTTGCCTGTGACAGACGGATGGTCCATCCAATCGTTGGCCTGTATTTTTAGTACCTGCCTCTGTCCAGACAGTTTCCAATAATGACTTCTCAGTTGGTTCTGTGTAACAAACCATGTGGCACAATCAGGTTAATCTCTTGGTACCCTTTCTTAATTTTTTTGACCTCACACTGGTATTTTTGTGCCCATTCTTTGAACACGTGCTCTGTGTTTTAATACTCCTGCGCCAGCGTGCTGTCAATGTCTGATTGCATTCTAAATTTAATTTGTTCATGCTCCTGTTTCAGGTTTCTTGACGTGTTCTTGTAGTGTTCCTGAGAATTAGTTAGATGCTGTTGGAGTCTTTTCTGTGTTTTACACTTTATCTCGATAAACCCTTCCAAGACAACCTCGTTCCGGACATGGT